GTTGATGGGCATTGCATCGAATGCATAAGTTCACCTCATGCTCAGAATCAAACTTCCAAGTTGTAAGCCTTTAGCTACACGATTTACACTGTTACATGACAATTCAAGCTTGTATTATTAATTTTTTTTAAATCCGGTTGCTCCCATCCGATCGCTTCTCGGCAGTTTATCGTTGTGCGCTACTATACCCATTTTGGTTCTAGTTGCGCACAGTGATAATCACTGTGCGCTACTATACCCATTTTGGTTCTAGTTGCGCACAGTGATAATGAATAGGATAAAATTAAATTAAGTTGATGGGCAGTGCATCGAATGCATATGTTTACCTCATCCTCAAAATCAAACTTCCAAGTTGTAGAGTCCTTAAATATTAATGTATTATGCAAAACATGCCTTTAGCTGCACGATTTACACTATTATATGACAATTCAAGTTTGTATTATTAATTTTTTAAATTCCGGTTATACCGCAGCTCCCACCCGATCGCTTCTCGGCAGTTTATCGTTGTGCGCTACTATACCCATTTTGGTTCTAGTTGCGCACAGTGATAATTACTGTGCGCTACTATACCCATTTTGGCTGTAGTTGCGCACAGTGATAATGAATAGGATAAAATTAAATTAAGTTGATGGGCAGTGCATCGAATGCATATGTTCACCTCATCCTCAAAATCAAACTTCCAAGTTGTAGAGTCCTTAAATATTAATGTATTATGCAAAACATGCCTTTAGCTACAAGATTTACACTATTATATGACAATTCAAGCTTGTATTATTAATTTTTTTTAATCCGGTTGCTCCCATCCGATCGCTTCTCGGCAGTTTATCGTTGTGCGCTACTATACCCATTTTGGTTCTAGTTGTTGCGCACAGTGATAATCACTGTGCGCTACTATACCCATTTTGGTTCTAGTTGCGCACAGTGATAATGAATAGGATAAAATTAAATTCAGTTGATGGGCATTGTATCGAATGCATAAGTTCACCTCATGCTCAGAATCAAACTTCCAAGTTGTAAGCCTTTAGCTACACGATTTACACTGTTACATGACAATTCAAGCTTGTATTATTAATTTTTTTTAAATCCGGTTTTACCACAGCTCCCATCCGATCGCTTTTTGGCAGTTGATCGTTGTGCGCTACTATACCCATTTTGGTTCTAGTTGCGCACAGTGATAATCACTGTGCGCTACTATACCCATTTTGGTTCTAGTTGCGCACAGTGATAATGAATAGGATAAAATTAAATTCACTTGATGGGCAGTGTATCGAATGCATAAGTTCACCTCATCCTCAAAATCAAACTTCCAAGTTGTAGAGTCCTTAAATATTAATGTATTATGCAAAACATGCCTTTAGCTACGCGATTTACACTATTATATGACAATTCCAGCTTGTATTATTAATTTTTTAAAATCCGGTTTTACCGGAGCTCCCATCCGATCGCTTCTCGGCAGTTTATCGTTGTGCGCTACTATACCCATTTCGGTTCTTGCGCATAGTTATAATGTATAGGATACAATGAAAGTCAGTGACGGGCAGTTTATGACTGAGACCTACGACCACACGTCAACACATCAGCGCTGCCCCCAACCCCTTCATGGCAACATGGGATAAGCGATACGTTTAATTTTAATTAATTATTGAATAAACAATGATATTACACTGTATATCCAATTGGTATTTTGTGCTTTGCATAAATTGAGTATGTTCGTTTCTCTGTTTTCTGTTTTCCGCTTATTTCTTTTCTGGTGGTTTTTATAAAATTTTCCCACTTATATACAGGTCTCTGACTTGCTTCTTATTTTTCAGCATACCGTGTTAAATTATTACCGTGTTATAATAATATTCGTGCTTTTCTACTAAACTTGTTGTGGAACGCATTCATTATTATCACAATACTTTGACTTCCATTATATATTTGAAGCTCAGATAACAATAATCAGTTCATCATAAATCATGATTTCATTGTCATATCAATATATACCGGTAACTATTATTGTCATTATTATTATTATTATTATTATTATTATTATTATTATTATTATTATTACTTATATTATTATTATTATTATTATTATTATTATTATTATTATTATTATTATTATTATTATTATCATCATCATCATCAACATCTTCATCATCACCATATACTTCATGTCAGTTTATGTAAAAAAATTAATATAATAATAAAAACATTAATAAAGATAATAAATCAAATAATGATGATATCGATGAGAATTATAGTAATAATAATGGTGATATCGATGAGAATGATAGTAGTAATAAAGATGAAGATTTTCCGTCTGCATTTGAGGGCTTCGGACCTTCAAAGCTGTGCTATCAAACTTTGGCTGCATTATAAAGCTTTTTTTTTGTAAAGACAAACACAATAACACTAAATATACATATATATTCTTTATTTAAATCGACAAACACAATAACACTAAATATACATATATATTCTTTATTAAAAAAAAAAACCTTCAAACATAATAAAAAATAAAAAATTACGCTGTTACATTGGTGGCACACATACTGTACATAACGGTTCGTCAATTCACAACGTACAAATCATTAGCGATCTGTGTCCAGAAATGAAAGAACGGCGAATCCCCGAACCGTTGGTTCCACATGAATTCCGCCAGGTAGCCACCAATCATGTCCCGATTGGTAGGACCCATCATGGACTTAAACTTCGCTTTTGCTCTTGACCACATTGCCTCGGCGTGGTTTGTGGTTACCCCCGTATTTGGGTCGACGAAGTGGTGGGTGTGATTCACGGTACCATGCTGGAAGCCCTGGTTGGGGATTTGATTGTAGGCGGCCCACATGTCCGACCATATAATTGAACCTGGAGCAATCCATTGGTTTATTACAGGCATCAATGTGACCGCATCTCTTCTGTCGACCATCACCATCACTCCTCTTTTCCGTGCCGCCTCGTATGCTCCAAACACCCATTTTTCTGGTACCATCCTCCCTCGATTGTACTTTCGCTTCGCGAAGGCAGACTCGTCTATCTCTACAATCGACCCAGGTCCGCCAATTTGCTGCGGGTGATTTACGAAGTATTCTACAGCTACATCTCTGCAAAATTGGTTCCAATCGACGATGGTATGCTCTGAACCAATATCCAATTCCCGCATTAAAAATTCCTGTGACGGGCCTCTTGGTCTTCCGCAATTTGTACTCCACATGTACGTTATGGCAATAACCTTCCACAATGGGATATGCGCTGCTTCGAAAAAACTACCCTTCCTGATGCTACTTACCTTCCTACAGTCTCGGTTGGGGCATCGGAAAACCCGGCCATCTATGACTCTGTTGTATACTCCTTCCTGACATAGAAGGTTACAAACTGGGCATACCATCGTTTGAGCCAATAGGCCATACCTTCTGCACCACGCTATCGTTGCGTCAATACTTTCGCTAAACCTAGAACCGATGGTAACCAGTCGTATTGACTCGAATTCATTTCTGTCCGGCAATGGCCGTTGAACCGCTGCAGCTTGTGCCATTTGGAGCCTTCTGAGAATGCAAAACTAAGCGAGAGGAACAAGCCCTTAGGTTTGGTGCTTAAGAACAAGATGTTCGATCTTTGAGAAATTCGTTAAAAAGATGTTCATCAATCGAATATTAAAATTCGAATAACAATATATGTGCTTGGCTCCTCCTTCAAAGTTTCTTGCAAAGTTGTATAATTGGCCGTGTAGGGATTAGTGATCATTGCTCGTGGTTGATTGGCTGAAGTAAACCAACTTACTGTCCACGCCTTAATTAGTTTAAGTTAATATACAACAGATGTAGTTCTTTAGAGATTCGTTTGATTATAAAAATACCTAATTGACCACTTAGACGGGACAGCCTGGTAGGCAATTCAATTAATCAATCAAATCACTTAGATGAAATACTCGGATTCGATTATAATAATAACGTCATCAAACAAACCCTCCAGTTTCTCAACCACGGCTATCTTATTAAACTATTAAACTTAACAAATCCTGTACCTTTAACGCTAAGACTCATACTCCCGGTGACCTCCTTAGTTACAAACTTAAAACCAATTATACACGCATCCCCATCTTGGTTTTAGTATAGTTTTGAAAACAATATATTGATTAAAAAAAAATATATATATAGTCAATAGTTTGTAAGCCAAATAGGCACTTGGATTTTGTTGACAGGAAGTAAAATCCAACCATACCAAATACATTATTTATATATATACAAATACCTCTTAGAAGTACAAGTTTAAGCAGCAAGTTTATTGCTAAGTATGTGAGAAAGCAAACCTCTTCTTTCTCCCATACCTGTGACCGAACCACAGAAGTGGATGCACATGCTTTAACTACTGTACTTTTTATTTGCATTATTTATAACATATGACGTTTATATTCATTTCATTTAATTTTTTCTCATACATACAAAAATAACAACAGAAGAACAGATTGACGGCAGTGTAGAGAAGGGATTCCAAAAACTGAACTGAATCACTGTCAAAGTTGGTTTAATTTCATAATGGGTTGCGATAAATATGAAAATTACACAAATGGACTTGCCAATCTTAATAATAATAATAATAATAATAATAATAATAATAATAATAATAATAATAATAATAATAATAATAATAATAAATAATAATAATATTTATAAAAAATACATAAATATAATTTAAAACTTATTAACTCCGGATAAAGCTGAAAACAAGGCAAATCACGTTAAGCTTTTGACTATCACTGTAGTCTTGTTCCATTGTGTCACAGGAATTGTGATGTCGCCGATGAGGCCAGACGGCCCGGTCCTGCACCCCCACCCCCAACCTTCTTTTTTCTTGCCTTGAAAGTGTTGTTCCATTCAATGTTGGTCTGTTACTCCTGATGTAGATGGCCTCCTTGATCCTTCTCACAAACCATCTTGATACCACATTTGCAATTTTGGCCTCAAATGGCCATTTTCCCTGGGCCATTTTTACCGGGGCCATTTTTTCCTACAACACTAAATACCGTCCTTGCATCCTCAACATTTCGTACACCCAACATTCACACAGTAACGCTACATGTAATACAACTCGCTGTCAGATCTGTCGTCGTATTAACACAAACACCTCCATTACACTTAACAACACATCTAAACATAGGCTGTCTCCCCCTCCCCTCAATTGCGACACTCTGACGCCATATACCTAATATCATGCTCATTAGGCAGCAAATTTCGGAAACAGGCACCACATTTCGTTGACGTTTCAACTACCATAAACACTGTATCCGTAAGAACACCCCTGGTTTCCCTGTTACAGAACTTTTTAACTCTCCTTACCATACTTACATTGATCAGCTTAAAGTCACTTTAATAGCTCATAATTTTCGATATACAAAACACAGGCAATAAGGGATGTTGAAACTCAAAACACATATACATGATGTTAATAAGGACTTGGGATCTATCAGTGAAATTTTATTCTACCGCTAAAACTCCTATCTGGATCATTTATCAATGTTATGTATTCTGGTTGATTTATTATTGTCTATGTTAATATGAGAGGCCTACTTGTATCAATCTGGGTTTCTGACTGCGAATGGTCACATTGACCACTCAACCTAACGTCCGAGAAAATAAATCACAACCATAAGATAACAAATTTAAGCTAAATAAATCTCACCGTATAAAGCAAAACATTAACTGAAAAATTCAGATAGGAAATAATAAACACTCACTCATAAACTTTCCACCCCCACCCCATACACAGATTAAAGGAAAAAGAAATTAATTTACCCACCCACAAAATTTACCTAAAAGGAAGTCATTGAGGTAAAAAAATATTTCACCCCTTTTCACCCTACCTACACAGATAAAAGTAATTCAACATGTTATAACAAAGCTTAAGCTACAGGAACTCTGGTAAAGTAGAAACATAACTTAACTAAGAATAATCAGAATAATCCCCACCCATTTTCCCAAATCTCACAAACAACAGATAGAGAAATGACCGATTATGCTTAAATAGCACACCCACCCCAGTTTTTCGTCAAACAACTTTTTCTGTCTTAAAAAAATCAGTTCTACAACATATCAAATTTTTTTTTCCTCCGGAGCCTGACTTCAAAACCGGATGTTTTTATATTAATAATACAAGCTGAAATTGTCATATAATAGTGTAAACCGTGTAGCTACAGGTATGTTTTGCATAATACATTAATATTTAAGGACTCTACAACTTGGAAGTTTGATTTTGAGGATGAGGTGAACTTATGCATTCGATACACTGCCCATCAACTGAATTGAGTTTTATCCTATTCATTATCACTGTGCGCAACTAGAACCAAAATGGGTATAGTAGCGCACAGTGATAAACTACCCGTCAATAATTTCAATTGTATCCTATTATTTATCACTGTGCGCAACTAGAAACAAAATGGGTGTAGTAGTGCACAACGATACACTGCCGAGAAGCAATCGGATGGGAGCGACTCAGAAGAGAGCTGCGTTAAAACCGGATTTTTTTATATTAATAATACAAGCTGAAATTGTCATATAATAGTGTAAATCGTGTAGCTAAAGGCATGTTTTGCATAGTACATTAATATTTAAGGACTCTACAACTTGGAAGTTTGATTTTGAGGATGAGGTGAACTTATGCATTCGATACAATGCCCATCAAGTGAATTTAATTTTATCCTATTCATTATGACTGTGCGCAACTAGAACCAAAATGGGTATAGTAGCGCACAGTGATAAACTACCCGTCAATAATTTCAATTGTATCCTATTATTTATCACTGTGCGCAACTAGAAACAAAATGGGTGTAGTAGTGCACAACGATACACTGCCGAGAAGCGATCGGAAGAGAGCTGCGTTAAAACTGGATTTTTTATATTAATAATACAAGCTGAAATTGTCATATAATAGTGTAAATCGTGTAGCTAAAGGCATGTTTTGCATAGTACATTAATATTTAAGGACTCTACAACTTGGAAGTTTGATTTTGAGGATGAGGTGAACTTATGCATTCGATATACTGCCCATCAAGTGAATTTAATTTTATCCTATTCATTATCACTGTGCGCAACTAGCCAAAATGGGTATAGTAGCGCACAGTGATTATCACTGTGCGCAACTAGAACCAAAATGGGTATAGTAGCGCACAACGATAAACTGCCGAGAAGCGATCGGATGGGAGCTCCGGTAAAAACGGATTTAAAAAATTAATAATACAAGCTTGAATTGTCATATAATAGTGTAAATCGCGTAGCTAAAGGCATGTTTTGCATAATACATTAATATTTAAGGACTCTACAACTTGGAAGTTTGATTTTGAGCATGAGGTGAACTTATACATTCGATGCACTGCCCATCAACTGAATTGAGTTTTATCCTATTCATTATCACTGTGCGCAACTAGAACCAAAATGGGTATAGTAGCGCACAGTGATAAACTACCCGTCAATAATTTCAATTGTATCCTATTATTTATCACTGTGCGCAACTAGAAACAAAATGGGTGTAGTAGTGCACAACGATACACTGCCGAAAAAGCGATCGGATGGGAGCGACTCAGAAGAGAGCTGCGTTAAAACTGGATTTTTTTATATTAA